AAGGCTTCAATTCAGGCTCATTACAAGGCTTCAATTCAGGCTCATTACAAGGCTTCAATTCAGGCTCATTACAAGGCTTCAATTCAGGCTCATCACCAGTTTTCAATTCAGGCTCACCAACAGGCTTCAATTCAGGCTCATCAACAGGCTTCTCAGAGCAATCATTACAGTCGGATTCTCCTCCCTTGTTTGTAACATCCGCCTGAACCTCACGTTTCGAAGCATCCGATCTTTCTCCTTCCACTTTGGCATCCCTAGTAGAGCCATCAACTTTAGGGGTTTCAATTTGCGGGATCGAATCAGGGTTAGGGTTAGACGAGGCGGCTGAATGGAGACGAGAGAGGGCTTTGTTGCGGCGTTGCAAGAGAATCTTAAAGTCCTTTAGGGAGATGTTACGGGTCGGCATTAGCCATCGCCAAGGCACGTCCGTAAGTCTGTGTAGGTTTCCCCTGTACAAAGAAATCGCCACCATTTTCTCCCACTTTCCCGGTCCTCCTTTCTTTCTCTTTTACCCTATGTTTGGATGAAAAAAATAGGAAAGGAGAGGGTACAGAGCAAAATAGTCAATACCGTACCGGTATTATTACCGGTTTTACTATTGAAATGATACTTATAAGATACTGAAATTTTTCGGGTATCGTTTCAGATTTATCGCTATAAATATATATTTTTATAAATAAAATATCAAATTTTAAAATAAAATAAAAAATATTAATATTTAAAACTATTATATTCTTATAAATTAAAAATAAATTTAGAATGATAATTTTTAATCCCTTAACTTTTAATATATACATATTTTTTATCCATTTATTTTAAATTAAGGGATTAAAAATGTGTATTTAAAAAAATTTAACAGAATAATTAGGGTGAATCTCATGGGTGGTCACCCAACTTTATTAAAATCAACCTTTTCGTCACTCAACTTCTAAACCTAACAAATGGTCACCTAACTTCCCAAGCTGTCCAACCGTTAGTCATCCACGGTCAATATTAACTGAAAATGTTAAATCCCCGTTAAGGTGGCTAAGTTAAATGCCACATCAGATCTGACATGGCATTACAACATGAAAATCAACTCTGGACACTGAACGCATGGTGCTGACACCATGACTTACGTGTCGACACTACACTCGTGTCGGGTTTTCAGCCCCCTCTTGCAATTTCTTCAATGCTAAAATAGTAGATCTGGTCCTCCATATTTCACACAATGAAGATTTTGATTCCGTAACTTAAGATTCATTCATTTAGGTCCCACAAAGGCACCTTTCTTCTTACAATTTAGTCTCTCAACTTTCAAAAGATATTCAATTAATCCCAAAAACTCATATTCTCATGCATTTAAGTCCTTTTTTCACAAAGAATGAAAACAATGTAAAATTTATTGAAAATAAAATATTATCCATGCAAATAGTAATAAAATCAAAGCTAAAATATTATATTAAACCATATAAAAATGCTTTTTATCATTCATAAAAAAATATAAAATTTCTTGAATAAGTATTTAAATTCTAAAGTTTGTACCTCTAGGAATCCATCCAAATCCAAAAAGAGAGAGAAAAAAAAAAGAAAAAAGAAAAGAAAAGCTTAACGAAATTCACTTATTTGTATTTTCTTTTCTTTGGTTCTACTTGTGATATTGTTGACATTGCTTGAGATGAAGCATCAGCTGAAGGTTGGCATGAAGCATAAGAATGAAATAAATTTGAAGGAGCTTCAAATGAAGTTGCATAAGCTTGAGTTGGTGGATGATTAACAATGACAGGAGCAGCATTTGGTGACATATACACTATTTGACTAGACCCCTAGATTAAAAAATATAAGGAGAGGGTAAAGATTATTTTCCAATTAATAAAATTAATTATGAAAAAGCTTTTGCCAACAAACCACCAAACTTACATTGGCAAACCATCTAGTGGTCACTTGACTCTGAGAATTGTTCTGATCACTTAAGTTAGGAACCAGTGCTTCATTTATGACAGCTGCCTTCTTAACCTTCCAAACAAAAAAACATGTTAAGTAAAAAAATTGGCATTTAAGATTTTTCAATTTCTTTTAAACAATTGGAGTAAAATAACTTACTGGTAACTTGCCCCTCTTAGGTTGCTCATATCCAACATTGAGATTCCTTTGGTCCTTGGGTTGAGGTCTACAACTCCTCTTGTTATGGCCAATGTTGCCACATAAAGTACATCTCATTTTAACCCCTTTCCTTCCCATTTTTCCAGATTGCTTTTCCATTTCATCTGCAGCTTTTCTCCTTGCTTTCTTTGGCCTTCCAGCTGCTCTTCTTATAATTGGTGGTTGTACAGGTGGCATATCACTTTTTTCCCACTGGGGAGCACCTCTAATGGGAGTTATGAAGTTGCTGTAGATGTTGATGAAGGTTTCAACTTTATAGCAGGGGTGAACATGATCGTAAACATTTTCATTATTATATAAGATGGCAGCCACTGCATGCATACAAGGGATGCCACTAAGGTCCCATTTTCTACAAGTACATGTCCTCCTTCGAAGTTCCACAATATATTGATTTCTATGACACTCAACTTGAAACTTGGATGCACCAGCTGGTTCTGGAAAACACTTGGCTGAATGTTCCTTCAACTTTTCAATTTTTTTCATTATTTTAGGGCAAAAAGGTCTAGGCCATTTCTTTGCCTCATCTATTCTCTTTGCTATTCTCTTCATCAATTTGGTTTGAATTGTTTCAATTAGAGTTAGTATAGGTTTGTCCCTTGCATCCAAAATAAAACTATTAAAGGACTCACTCAAGTTGTTGACCAACATGTCAATGTTGGTCCATGTCTGGAAATAAGCCCTTGACCAATGTTTGGGATGCCTTTCTGCTAACCAATCAGCTGCCTCTGGTGACCGACATCTCATTTCAAACATTGCTTGCTTGAACTCTTGCTCATATGTGGACCTTGCAGCTTTCCATAAAAGTTCCTTCAAAGTTGTACCCTTGTGATTTGTTTTGAAATTGTTGTAGAGATGCCTTACACAAAACCTATGTTCTGAGTTTGGAAACTTCTCTGCAAGAGCTGGTACAAGTCCCTATACATAAACAAAAACAAAATGGAACCAATTCCTATGTCATATATAAAACAAATAGAAATATAAACATTTGACACTTAATTGCTAAATTGAAAATATCTTCTGTTTGTCTGACATAAAGCCCCATCCATGTGTATTTACAATATCAAAGTCATCCATTAATTGATCTAAAAACCAACTCCATGAATCTTTCCACTCAGATTCAACTACTGCAAATGCTAAAGGGTACATACAATCATTAGGATCAATTGCAACTGCACACAAAAGCTGTCCCCCAAACATGCCTTTTAAAAAACACCCATCAAGGCAAATGAAAGGTCTACAACTGGCTTTAAAGCCTTGCTTGATTGGTCCAAGGCAAACATACATCCTTTGAAAAAGTGATGCCTCTCTATGACAAATCATGGTGCTGCCCTGATTCCAACGTTTCACTTCATCTATATAGTCATAAATGTATTCAAATTGTTGAATGAAATTTCCATTAATTATTGACTTTGCTATTTCCTTAGCTCTGGAGCATTTTTGGTGATTAACTATGGTGAAAAAGTCCTTTCTAACTTGAGCTTGTAATGCACATGGTGCCCAGTTTGGATCAGCTTTAAAATTGTCTAAATAATGTTCTGCCAGCCATTTTGCAGAGAAGCTTTTATTCTCGGTCTTTTTCCCACAATTATGCTCATATTTCAAAGTCTTGATTTGCCAAGTTGTGTCTTGTTCTACCTTACAATCAGCGGGGGATGCCCACATTTCCCAAGGACAGTTCTCTTCCTTACAAATTGCCTTAACCCTTTTCTTATCATTCTTTTCAAACTTAACTTCCACCCTATTCATCCTT